ATTGCTTAATGCGGGCCAACAAAAACTAGCACCCTTCATGTATAGAAGTAAGCAGTGGTTAAAACATTCTTCTCAGATACATGCATCACACACACTCACTAAATAAACACAGGGACACTTACGGATTGTTCTGGGTTGCGTGTGACGGGTCCTTTTCCGGGCTTGCGTTGGAGGCCTGGTGGCGGGTTAAGCTGGATGATGAGGCCCAGGTAAGTCTGGGTAACCACATCTGATATGGCTGTACGCCTCATAAACAAAAATGACGTGGTGGGCCGACTAATCTAGGCTGACTACCACTGAAGAGGCTAAATGGTGGCACCTTAGTGCATTACGCCAGCCCGTTGTGTTGGGTTGTCTGCGCGGTCGTATGAATATACACCTGCCGCTCGTCTCGCTGGGAGGACCGTTGTGTACCAACATATACATACATTACACACGAACACCATTCTTACACTTGTTACTCAACGCCAGAGCAGTATCCGCGGGTGAAACTAAGGGAAAGTGGCGACTCCCGGCCGGCTCGAGCAAGTAGCGGTTCTCTCTGGTAACAGAAAGGGCTGCTGCCCTGGTTTTAACCCCTTCCAAAGACTTATTTCTAGAAAAAAAGGATAGTGCTGGCCTTCGCGGGTCAGGACACCATTAAAAAAATGCCAAAATGAAAAACGTCGATGCAAAACTAGTACCCAAGGCGGTAACCTCTCTAAGGGAATCCGCCGGCAGTTCCGATCCGATGAAAGCCCGGGTGACTGTCGAAGGCCCCACGGATTCTGGGGGGGGGGGGGGCACAAAGACGTGTCTCATGGCCAACAGGGACTGCTAAATGTTTCATGGCCCTTTCTAACGGATAAAGGACGAAGAGGAAGCCTGTCAAGCATAGGCACTAACGACATCGAGGACAGCAACGTGTCGGTATTTAGCCACCATACCCAGGAAGAGCTTGCCTTTCTAGAAGAAGATGGTGCTAAGCTCAGAGTAAAGCAACAGCAGTTGGCTGATAATGTCCAATCAGCAACGAAAGATATAACAGAGACGCTACAATTAATCAACGATAAGTACGGCAACACAGCGACCGCTGTTAAGAATGGGCTAAAAGCCGCGCTTGAACACCTTCAAGAGGCAGAGGTGCTAAGAAAAGGCTTTCTTTATGAAGAAGAAGTGCATGCAAACGCTTGGAAGTCGTAATTCGAATTCCTGCAGTGTAGGGAACAAATGCAAGATAAGTTCCGACGGCAGGTACAGAAAAGAACCCTGAACATTGCCCTAAAGGAAATAGAACGAAGTAAAAGAAACAGAAGCCCATCGGACAGCATTGAGAAACGCCAGCAAACCATGCCTCAAAAGAAAAAGAAAACAGGCAGTGGCAAACAAGAAGAAATTCTCCCGAACAAAAAAACAAGCCAGAAGAAAAATGTAGACGCCACAACAACAGTAGTAGTGAAGATGGCCGAAGGGCAAACCTTTGCAAAGGTGCTAAGAACGATGAAGGAGAACTTCGACCCTGATAAGGCTAATGTGGCAGTCCAAAGTGTTGTCACTACAAGAAAAGGAGACATACTTATTAAGGCCAAAGATGTAGAGAATGCTTCTGCATTCTCACAGCGAATTGAAAAGTCGGTAGCTGGACAGGGTACTGTCAAAATTAGCAACAGAAAAGTGACATTACAGTTCCGATACCTGGATGACATTGTAGAGGGAGATAAGGTCAAAGAGGCTTTCGCTAGGACTTTTAGACATCAGAGCCAAGAGCCAGAAGTAGCCTTTCAAAGCCAAATGCCAGGGGACAGAGGCTGGCGTTGATAAAGGTGGACGAAGCATCTGCCAGACAAGTAGAAAAGAAAAGGCAGGTTACGAGTTGGCTTTGTAAGCTGCTGAATTCGAAGAAGAATTAAAGTAATGAGATGTTACAAATGCCTGGGATATGGACACGTCTCAGGCAACTGTAGAAAAGAATACAGATCAAAGCTTTGCTTTGGGTGTGAAAGCTCAAAGCACCGAAAAAAAAGTGTCTAGGCCCAGCATGGTGCTTTCTTTGTCCAACGACGGACAACAAGCACGAAGCAGGCAGTTGGAGCTGCCCTTCATTCAAGAAAGCGCTAGAAGAGGCCAGGGGTAAGGCCCAAGCAGGATCAAAATAAGGCAAAAAGGCCTTGAGTTGAAAGACAGGCTTATGTGGACCCACGCTGCGCTGGGTACTTTTTACCTATCAGCAAGGGAAAGCATTAAGCTTATAGTGGTGCTGGCTGAGTGGGCGGCCTGCTATGAAGCGCTAGACAAGGTGCTGGTCCTCAGAGACCCCGAGTCCTTTTCAGGACTCAAGAGCATCAGCACCTTTAGCAAATGGTGTCGAGTTATCTCGTTAATGCTGTAAGACGCAATGGTCTTCCTGGTGGCTTCACCCTGAAGTAATGCTAACGCGGTTCCGGGGTGGATTTAATGCCACGCGGCATGGAGGGGGGGTTTAGTGGGTATGGGTGGTCTAATAAAAAAAAAAACCAACGAGTCCTACACTACCGCTGTCCCTGCGAAATGCCTTAATGCATTTTCCCTGCCTCCACAAAAAAAAAAAAAAAAAAAAAAAAAAAAAAAAAAAAAAAAAAAAAAAAAAAA